TTTGGTTCTCACACATGTCACACACACACACACACACACACACACACACACACACACACACACACAGGATGGTCAGTTCCAGGGAGGCTGGTAGCATAGCAACCCCTGGAGGGGTGGCTTAAGTTTCTGATGGAACTTCATGTGTCAGGGAGGCCAAAGTGACCTTATCTTCTAGAAACCTGGGCCAGGTTAATTGCTGATAGAACATCTGGTGGCTGAGGGCTGCACAGAGCGGGCCACTCCCTCAGACTCACTGGCTCTTGCTCTGTAACCTTCTCTGGGACAGTTAGACATTGATCTGACACTTGGAATTTTTTTTTTTTTTTATCCTGGCGTGATCAGACATTAGATGGCCTAGGAATTGAACCTGCGTCCTCTGGAATATCAGTCAGTGCTCTTAACCGCTGAGCCATCTCTCTTTCCCTGAAGTCTTTGATAGGGTATTAAAAGCCATAATTTAGAAAGAACCCCTAAAGCTTAACCACAAACCGTAAAGAACCCATCCCCAAGTGGGCAAATAATAACCACTAAGACCTTCACAACAGGGAAGTTAAAGTCAAACCCCAGATGAGATGCCACTTCACAGGGATGGGGCCGCTTGTCAGAGAACGACAAATGCAGAAGACAGTTGTTGTTGCCAAGGACCGGGAGCAGTGAAGATACAGCTACCAAGAAAGCAGTCTGGCAGCGCTTCAAAAGAGCTCAGAACCAAATTAACATCTCAAAGCCATCCTAGTCCTAGATACATCACAAGGAAGATGTGTGAAACGGGGCATGGAGAGGAGACAAAGACAGGGAGGCAGGGATCCTGGTGTGCGACCCCACCCTCACCCCATGTGCTCCGATGTCTCAGTATAGCCTGGGTGTTGGAGAGCCGTTCTGTCTGCACACCTCTCCAGTAGGGGCTGTTTGCAGACACGTTCAGACGACACACCCAATCTGGGCACCAGGGGCTGAGGCAGAGGCCAGATTTTGCTGTTCCTTAGGGTACCATAGCATATCCTATGCATACACATTCATGCCCCACCCCCTGCCATGCATGTCCTCACACTCCTGGGATCAAACCAAACAGAAATTGCATGTCAAGGACCTGGCCATTATCTGATAGTATCTTGTTACTAAAGAGAGACATAAACAATGTCTACTCCCCCATCCCGAGGTCACCAACATCAAACTGAGGTATGATTCCACTAAAGTTCACCTGGAACCAATGAGTTTACAGGGCTTCCTTATAGAGCAGTGGTTCTCAACCTGTGGGTCTAGACCCCCTAGGGGGGTTGAATGACCCCTTTGCAATGGTTGCCTAAGACCATTGGAAAACACAGGTATTTACATTGCAGTTCATAACAGTAGCAAAATTACAGTTATGAAGTAGCCACAAAAAAATAATTTTATGGTTGGGTGTCACCACAATATGAGGAATGTATTAAAGTGTTGTAGCATTAGAGAGACTGAGAACCACTGTTGTAAGTGAGAGATTATTTATAGGAGTGTGGGTGGTTTCCCCAAAGGCCACACTAGAAAGTCTTACTCAGCAGAGATGATGGCTTTCCTAGTCACATAGATAGAGGACTCCTCTCCCAAGACCCAAGACTACACGCCATTAGGGCAGAACTGTATAAAGCTGATTGGGAGGGGTGGCTGGATACTCTGGTGAGGGTCCCATGACCTTTCCCCTCCCCCAACGGGCCCAGCCATGATGGTCTTTTGTTGGCAGGTCCAGCAGAACTTCCCCCAATGGTTGTTTGTACAACATGCTGATAGTACTAACCTTGGTGAGCCAGAGAACCCATTACAAAGTTGCGAAATGGCAAAAGACTGAAAATACTCCCAGGGTCCAGTGAGGGGCTGGTTCAGCTAGGTGTGTGTGAGTCACGAGTCACGAGAATGAGCCATGGACTGATACTTTAAATGGCAGTAAAAGACACATAAAATAGACATTCTTAACCAATTAAATGCAAGTGCAACTACACAGTCAATCCTGTCATCCAGCTCTACCCTTTATCCTTCAAAATGAAGCTGTCTCTCCAGTTCCAAGTACCAACATGAAATGCCTGTTTATGGAAGATGTGTAGGCAGACTCTTCTGCCCTGCCAGACAGTTCCCAAATAACCAAACTGAGGTTTATTAATTATAAATGCTCGGCCAATAGCTTAGGCTTGTTACTAGCTAACTCTTAAATTTTAAATTAACCCATTATTTCTTATCTATGCTCTGCCACATTGCTTATTACCTTTTTTCAGTACATCAAGTTCATCTCCTGTTTCCTCTACATCTTGTACTCCTGAGATTCCTCCTCCTCCTTTTCATGCTCTCTTTTTGTCTGCCAGTCCTGCCTAATCTCTACCTGTCTAGCTATTGGCCAGTCAGCTTTTTTATTAAACCAATCACAGTGACAAATATTCACACAGTATAAAGGAATATTCCACATTTCCCCCTTTTTGTCCAATTAAAAATGGAAGGTTTTAACTTTAACATAGTAAAACTATATATAACAAAAACAAAAACGGGGGTATAGTGTGGGCAGGTGAGGAAGTCTGCTGTGGGCTTCAGCTATCGTACAGGGTCCTTCACCTTAAACTGGTGGGTGCGAGAATGTTTCTTAGAAATAAAGCTTCAACAAAGGCCTGTTTATCACTGATGACAGTCCCAAAGCAGTTCTGGTGTCTGACCTGCATTCATCCCATCCATCATGGAGGCTGGCTGCATTTATGACAAGCTTTTCCACTTAGCATCAGGTCCTCAAGATCCAGCTATGCTACAGCATGTAGTCAGAAGAGATGTCTGTGTATGCAAAAAATATATTTTGCTTTTAAAAATATCTATATTTATTTGTCACGTATGTGCAGGTGTCTGGGAGGCCAGAAGAGGGTTTCCCTTAGAGCTGGAGTTTCAGATGGCAAAGAGCAGGAATCACTCTTAACTCTCAAGCTATCTCTACAACCTTGAAAATTATATATTTTTTTAAATGAGAATGTATTTTGATCGTATTCACCCTGATCCACCCCTTCCCTCCCTCCCTCGTCAAATTCAGGTACTCTGTGTGTTTGGGTGTTTTGCCTGCTTGTATGTACACATGTGTGCCTGGTGCCCTCAGAGGACAGGAGAGGGTGTTAGATCCCTTGGGATTGTAGTTAGCCACCATGTGGGTGCTGAGAACTGAACCTGGGTCCTCTACAAGAGCAGCTGATGACCTTAACTGCTAAACCAACTCTCCAGCCCTCAAGTTTAGAGACATAGGGGATATATCTAGATAAACTAGAGATACAGGAAATATATTTAGATAAACTTGAGATACAAATTAGAGATACAGAAGCTATATCTAGAGAAACTAGAGTTACCTAGATATACAGGAGATATATCTAAATAAACTAGAGATGCAGCACCTTCTGGGTCTGATGCCAGCCTAGGACACACAAGGAGACTCTGCTTAGCAGAAAGAATGGGTAAGGATGCTTCTCACACTGCAACATTGAAAACTTTTGACAATGTATATGCCTTTCTTTTTCAATTCAGAATGGAGATTTGAAGTACAATTTTGACTTGGTTTTGGTTCACTTTGTTGTGTTTATGGTTAGTGTTTAGTTTTTAGTGTCTTAAATTTTACTACCAGAGGCCGGGCGGTGGTGGAGCACGCCTTTAATCCCAGCACTCAGGAGGCAGAGCCAGGCGGATCTCTGTGAGTTCGAGGCCAGGCTGGTCTCCAAAGTGAGTTCCAGGAAAGGTGCAAAGCTACACAGAGAAACCCTGTCTCGAGAAAAAAAAAAAATTACTACCAGGAAAGTTCCCCATAGACTCTAGGCAACAGGATAATTTGGCAGGAGGGAGCTCTGGGGAACCCAGAATGCCGCACTCCCCAGCTGCCCCTTCCTTTGCCTGCAGTGAGACTGTACTCTGAAATGCAATTCTAATTAATCTCAGAGTTGGATAGCAGCCAGTCACCAGAGAGTTCTTACAATCAATGAATCCTCTGACTGAATGGTCGAGATCCTGTCTGTATCCGCCTTATATTCCCTGCCTTATATTCCTGTCTCCACCTCCTGGGTGCTGGGATTAATGGTGTGTACTGCCGCCACCACCTGACTCTGTCTCTCTTTTAGACTGGTTCAATCTTGTATAGCCCAGAGTGGCCTTGAACTCCTGACCCTCCTGCTTCTTCCTCCCAAGTGCTGGGATTAAAGGTGTGCGCCACCACGGCCTGGCCTCTATGGTTAACTAGTGCCTAGCTCTGCCCTCTGATCTCCAGGCAAGCTTTATTTGTTAGAGCACAAACAAAATATAGCAATCAATCCTTCAGGACCCCAGACTTCAGACTGAGTGTTCCTGCTGGTCAGACAGGCTTGGTGGCCCTCCTCACCCTTCTGTCGAGGACTGTTCAAGCCTGACTTCCTCCATCCCCGGGCACTGGGGACCACAGCTATCCCTGACTTACCCCACAGCTCAGTTCTGGTTCCTCTGGGAGGTTTTGGGGCTCCAGGCGGCTGTCTTGGGAGGTGCCACAAGGCTTTTTGCTGTGGGTGTCAGGTAAAGCACTGGACTGCAATGTCTGAAGTCACCTGAAGAAAGATATGAACCATCCTTAGGGACCAACCTGGACCTTCACCTTAGGTTTCTTGGTCACAGGGCCAGGTTAGCAGAACCCTTTTCAGGTGGAAGGGGGTGGGGCTTTCCAAGGAATGTGATATTGACATTTCCATTCTTCCATGGGAGGAGGCAGGGGCATGTTGTTCACAGGGAGATGTCAAGGGGGCTGACAGAAGGGAAGGCGGGAAGCAAACACCTCCCTCCAGTGTTCAGGGGAAGGATGCTCATGGCCACTTCTTCACAGTCTTAAGTCTCAGCCAAGTCAGCATCCTCGTCTCCCTGTAGACCTGGAGGCCCAGAGAGATGGCTAGGCTGTGCCCTGTGCGTCTGGAAGCCAGCACCACCCTTGCTGTGTGTCCACAGCTCTCAGGGCCGGGTAGGTCATTGCTGTGGCTCTCACTTTTGTGTCTCACCAGAAGACAGCCTGGAGTTCATAAACAGCTCCTCTTCCTTCGTTGAAGACAAAAAGAAATCTTCAAAGAAAAGCAAAGGTAGTTTCCCTGAGCAGGGTAGGTGGAGGCGAGGCCTGACCCCTTGCCTAGGGTGCGTCAGGCTGGCCTCCAGGGTGCAGGGTGGAGGGGGGTATTTCTCTTCCTGTTGGACAGAACTCAACAGAAACACAAGGAGGGCTGGGAGTGGGGATAATTAGTGGGAAACGAGTCAGATCTGAACTTCAAAACCCTGAGAAGGCATCTGGGTGACCAGGTCCTAAGTCTTTCTGTCTCACCAGAACTTTCCAATACAAGATTGTCTTACGGTCGTGGAAGGTCTGATGTGCTCAACTGTGTTTGACTCAAGGCAGGAAGAAAGGAACCTAATAAGAGAAAAACTTCCAGCTCTAGTTTTCTGTTGCTGTGATAAAATACCCTACTCCCCAAAGCAATGCTGGACAGAGAGGGCTTATTTTAGCTCATAGCTCCAGGTCACAGTCCCTCATAGCAGGGAAGCCAAGGCGGCAGGAACTGAAAACTGCCAGCCAAGAGCAGAGAGGAATGGATGCAGGCATCCCAGCCCGGCGCTCAGCGCACCTTCTCCACTCTTGTTCAGTCCAGGTTCCCAAACCCAAGGAATGGAGCTGCCCATGGTGGGCTGAGGCTTCCCACATCAATCAAACACTACCCTCTCATTACCTCAGCCTCAGAAGGAAAAGACCACCCCAGAAGCCCCATCCAATGCTTCTGACTCACATCCCATTGTCCAAAACTCCATGTGGCCATGAGTGTGGATACAGAGGTCTTTTAAAGCAGACACATAGCTCCTTTACATAGACCTCTCTCTCAGAGGTCTCTAACAGCCTTTACCATACTGGTACCCTTCTTGCCTTCCAGAGCTATCCTGGAGTTTCATGTTGATGGGGACCCAGGGGACCCTGTGTGTCATTCACCACTCTGACTTCCTGGACCCTTAGCTCTCACACTAGGTGTCCACTGGTGTCCACAGTAGGATCTGAATCAGTGTAGAGGAGAAAAGCATGACCTGGGGTTCAGAAGCAGACCATCATGAGTCCCGACTCGGGACCTGCCTCTGGTTCCCTGGATGGATTTCTGATGGTCTCCCTGGGACCTCCCGGAGATGTCCTGGCCTGCACCCCACTTGCCCTACCCATGAGAAACCTGTCCAGTTCCATCACTTTGTGCAGGAGGCTCCTCTGGCTTCCCTTCTCTGTGAAAGGGGGCTTGTTGGGATTTTCACACCAGGATAAAGGCAGATGGGTGAGACAGATGCCAGGCAGGAGCCCCCCCCCCGCCCCCCGATTAAACCACAGAGGAAAGTTAATGGGGCTTGGACTGAAGAGCACTCAGAGACGCTGTGTGTCTCATGGTGGGTAGAAGGTAAAGGGGACCCCTGAGACACAGGCTGTTTTTTTTTTTCCTTTTGCAGGGAATGTGACTATATCTGACCCCTCAAGTAACCCTTTCCACATGTCAGGGGATGTGGATTTCTTCTTGTTCAGAGAGCAGGAGCGGGATAAAGCCATTGTAGTAAGTATCTGGGCCTGGGGTAGCCTGGGGTAGCCTGGGGTAGCCTGGGGTAGCCTGGGGTAGCCTCTTGAGAAGTGTCCCTGCTCTCCTTTCCTCTGTCTCAGGTAAATGCTTCCCTCCTCAGCTCACACACAGACCAGAGCAATCATGGCTCACTTTCCCTACAAAATCAAGTGCAGACGCTGCCCGGCTCTAACCTGTCCCATGACTCCATCTTCACTGTCTCTGGGCCTTAGTCCGGTAGCTTCCTTGGCTGCTCACTCCCTCTTCCCCTTCCCCTTGTGCAGAACGCCATTCTCTCCCAGCACTCTTCTTGTCCCTCCAGGCCCGACTCCCACCTCACAAGTCCCCTCCTCTGGACCTCTCCCCTGCTTGGAATCCCACAGGGAGTGAGTGCTCCAACCCCTGTCTCACCTGCATCCCAGCTTGTTGCCTCTTGTTTTAGCCATGTGACCTGGAGCCAAGGCAGCTCTGGATCCCCCAGCCCCAGCACACAACAGCAGAACAAGCCCAGACAAAGCAAGCAGCCCACCTGCTGCTCCCCTCCTCCCCCTGCTGCTCCCCTCCTCCCCCTGCTGCTCCCCTCCTCCACCTGCTGCACCCCTCCTCCCCCTGCTGCACCCCTCCTCCACCTGCTGC